TGGGTGGTCCGCATACTGGACACTCTCTACAAGGTCAGCGGACATAATCGGTGGACCCAGTTCTAACTCAGTTCCTACAATTCATTGCCGATAATACCTTGATAAATCAGTAGCGAAATACTCCATATTGTAGTTACTCTTTAAAGGGCACTGTGCATTGTCTAAGGTATAGCTGGTAGCCTGGATGTTATTAACAGCATATGTAACATACCTCAGATAACCTGCAATGCCCAGAATAATATTTGTATCGTATGGGAGTTTCGTCGACAGTCAACGCTAGGCACTGTCACATAATGAGAACCAAAATATATTCTGAAGGGCCAATTTTAAAATCATCCTGTCTTATAAGTGATAAATCACAGCAGAGTTCCTAGCCAATATCAGTAACACTCTTGCGTGTTCTGGATTCAGAAGGCTCATCACAGTGAACGCGAAATCCTGTCAAACAATTTGCCAATTAATATGTTCTCCTTATAATTTCTGTCAGCCAATCATTATATAGCGTGATGTAGTTACACTACAGTACACTACATTCTACTCTACTACACTACACTACAGTGTACTACACTACGAAACTCTTCCCAAGGTGAAGAGCCACCGACTGTCGGTTTTCTGCTATCGATTATCAATACATTCACAGATACTCTATATACCGACCAATACGTTTTTGTTCTAGAACTCAGGATGGTTTGTTTGTGCGACTGACCGCGAGAGTGCAGTAACAAGCCGGTGAAAGTGCTAGCAGCGCGTAGCAGCGAAAGTTGTATTTTATGTGTGCCACCATAATAAATGTTCCCTAAATATGCCACACTGCCAACACCATACCGACATGCAGCTTAAAAACACGACAGACAACTATAAAATAAACAAGAGTAAAAAGGAGTCCAGCAAAGCTACCTTTTGTAATTGTGTATCCTTCACTGGTTGATGCAGTCGCACTACATATTAGAATTATTGTGGAGAAACATTTTAGAAAACGCCCTCTATGAAGACAGGGACATATAATAACGAAATTATTTTTTAAAGCATAAGGGACGACGACGGACAAACGTAATGTTTGCCATTTTTCAGCAACAGAAATTCTTTGTTTTACGGACCACTTGTAAATACCATACATCATCGTAGTTCTAATATTTCCAACCCAGAGCAGAAATATCAAAAGTAAACTTCAAATTTTCCAACTGTACCAATGTTATGTCGAATTAAATAATGAACTGCTTGCAGACAGAAAATCCGATCTGGATGCAAATAACTGTAATGATAGTAACAGTGAGGCAGGAGCTACAAGTGAATGTGTCATTTCACAAACCACGTGAAATGAAAAATGTGTGTTACGATTTATTAACAGTGTTAAAAAGCTGACGACTGTGTAAACAGTGTAATGCGTAGCACTACATGAACCCTTAATAGTTCTCTATATTTTTTTAAATAGCCGTTTTATGAATTAATCGTCCGGTTCTCAAAGATGGGCGCAAGCTGTGATAAAGTGAGTTAGACTCACATGGCTTAAAAATAAATTCAACGATGTCTGTAGTGACCCTAAACGATATGGATTGAAATAAAGTCGTCGCTTGTCATTTCGTCTGTCCACCCGTCTTCATAACTACTGACAGGTAATCTACTTCATTAAACATATGAGATAAAGGGTATTAATAATAGGTGAAGTTTTACAGACAGATATTTCTAAGACTGTCATCTTCTGGGTTTTGATACCTTGTAGTCTTGTAAGTGGTTGCTAACGAAACGAAAGAATATATCGTCCTGCACATGGAGACAACATATTCCTACGAAACATCCAAAATCACCTATAAGACTACTTTGTGTCATGATTCAGAACACCACAATTGACGTTATCTGAGTATATTTCATCTCTCATACTTTTAAATGTTTAAATTACATAACACAATTCTTCTTGTAGGCCTAATTATGTGGCAGGAATAAGGACTACATTTATTAACGTACTTCACATATGTTGATGATTCGTTTATGTTTGGTAAATACAGAAGTACATGAGAAAAGCTTCAAATAAATCTATAGATCAGGGTTTTTTAAACTTCTCAGACCTGGGACCACACTACATTTGCCGACAAGAGAACTTCCGGCTATAAAACAGGACAATCTACCGAAGACTGTGACAATTTATTAAAAATACTCCTGACCATTCATGACATTTTCACACACTACACGACAACCATCTTTATCAAAATCAGTTATTAGTGAGATATATGACACTGCTCTAGAGAAGTTAATCTTTCAATATCAAGCTCAATTTCTCTTGTAATTTGTATCCATCCTTCAAAGTGTTCATCAGTGTAAGACGCGTCCTAGTTCTTACTATGACGTTATTCTTCAAGCTGAAGAGTTGCTCGCAGCGAAAGAAACTTACAAATATTGACGACAACAACAAAGAGAGTTTTGTGAGATTTGAGGTTTTCACAGCGGTGAGTATGAAGATTTCTGTCTTCTGGGTTGTTGCGCTGTGCAGTCTGGTCGATGTTTACCAACGTTTCAGAGGTCATACTGCCTCCGTCATCAGGGCGAT